TTTACCTTAATTATTAACTTTAGGTTTGTGGCCAAATTTTGGAAGGAGGCCAATTTAAACTTAATTCAAAAGGACTTCATTGAGAAAATTATGTGAAGATTTCAAAAGATGAATTTAACGTGTTTTACATTAAAAAAGTTGCCTTTAATAACTGTTTTTCATCAGTGAATTAAACAAGTGGTAGGTAACACATTTATTTCTTGTTTCCCACCATACTCGAGTGCTTATAAATAACCTAAATTAACAAAGGATGTTTTTAATATATGTCTTAAAAGTGTATTAATTGTATTTTTTTATTATTAATGTTATTAAAAATAATCAAAATAAATATTATTTTTAACATTAATACTATGTAAAACAATTTAATTAAATGATTGATAAAACTTAAATAAATATTTATTTTTTTCATGTAAATTAAAAGTAAAAAGTACAATAAATTCCATTAACAAAAGCATACTTAGACTTAGCTGGAGTGACTGCAACATTCAGGCATATGTTGATGTGCACATGCAAAATGGAGCTTTACTTGGAAGGAAATTTAAAACTTCAGCGCATAAAAATCAGTTTGCACTTTGCGATGAGAAAAAAAAAATGGTTGGGGGGAGCTCTAGATCTCAAAAGGAATATTATGAAGTAAAGATAATTTGAAGGTGGAAAAGATTTGCCAAATCATAAAAACTCTAGTAATAAAGTATGTAAGATTTAAGATCCAACCACTTAAATATATTTAATAAAAAGATAAGATCCAACTACTTAAATACATTTAATAAAAAAAATTACATACCATTATGGTCCAATAGTCATAACTCCTTTAAAAAAATATAATAGTATCTAAAAAGTTGAATATTTAAAACTTGATAACTCCATTTCCTCATTTCCAATTGTACTAATTAAAAAATAAAAAATGCATTCAACAATAGGCAGCAAATGGGGGTTGTTTGCATTTAAATTCAATAATGCAATTCATGTGTGCTCTGAGCATGGCTGAGCTTAGTTTTTGTTCTATGTGATTTTTTTTTTCAGTAGATGCATCATTTTTGTTTGGGAAAAACGGTCAAATTAGCACCTTAACCTATTCAACTCGGAAAATAAGCCTTTTAGTTTTTTTTTTTTTTTTTTT